CCGGGACGAGTTGTTGTGATTTTAATGCTCCAGATAAGGAAAATCGGTTGAATCAATAGCTGTTAACACTGGATGTGCAACGATTGTGCAACGCTTTTTGCGCTCGCGTTTTGTATTGTTTTTCGATTTTTTCGATTTTTGGATAGATTTGGAACTTTGGAAGATTTCTTCCGGAGAAGATGGAAATCTTCGTGTATTAAATATTTAATAATTATATAGAATCATAATAGAAATAAAATGGTACGAAGAATGGTATTTTATATTTGATGTTTCGAGACTTTTGAGGTTTTTCGAGCGATCCACCGCCAGATAGCGCGGTGGAGTTGTCGAACTATACTCGATTGGTTGGTCATGATTTTGCAAATTGCATCCATCGTCTCGATGTTGATGCAAACGAGGCGTGAATGAGAGAAAAGAAACGTGAATGTGATTATCGTATGCTCGCCGATTGGTATTTATACCACGTGTTCGCGGCAATTTCATCATGTTATGGCAATCCTCCGAGCGATTCGTAGCTCGCTGTAAATGCACGTACGTTTTGTCTCGAGGTTTATCCTCGCGCTTGTACTAGACGCTATAAAACTGCGGAAGAGTTATAATATTACACTTATGCGCACTTATATGCTCGTGTTAGATTACCATAAGTATGAGGTGTAACGAGTACAAACATGGGCCGACTCTCATTTACGTTCAACCGGCGCACCGTATAATTTTATTCGAAGTTTAAGGTTAATTGCCACGGCCTTGTACACTTATTTGCATCCGTGCAATCGCAAATCCTCGTACTCGAAATTATCGATCGTAAATTACTTAGTACATTGAACGTTGGTCCAATTGCGCGTTCGTAATGAAAAAAAAAATAAATAAATAAAAAAGAGAAAAGAATTAATAATACAATTCAACCTTCGAGCGTATATTCGGTTGTCTTCGAATGAATTTTTATATCCCTCTTGTTGGTTTTGCCGCGTTAAATCTCGAAACGTCTTAATCCCGACTGTTTAAAGAGTCGATACACGTCTCGTAACTTTCGATACTTTACGATCGAGCACGATTTCAGGAAGCCCGTGTCGAACGCGAGGCGACAAATAAGATTTTTTAATTTTACTCGATTGATGGTTAATTCTTTCACCTGCTCGAAACGCAATATCTTCTTCGATCGAATTAACGAAGCGCGTAAATTTTCGTAAATTATCGTCCGAGGAAAATATCTTTCAGAAATGTCGATTAAAGAAAACGCACGCACAGCGTGAAAATCAGATTGCTAAATCTTGTAACCACGATCGCGATGCATTAGCGCGTTGTTAAGAAGGAAACTTTGCTCCAATTGGAGCAAGACGAAATCGAATCCATTCTCGATGCGTGACGAGCAATATATTCGTTTCACACCAGATTGTGACCTACATTAAACGCAATACGATACACGCGATATATGGTTCCGAGTGGTGGAATAATTACGCGGGGACAAGCAGAATGTGAGGCGTCATAACTCGATTCGAGACGAAATAAGTCGTGATTCGTGTGACGAATCGTGTGGGACCAAATCGTCACGGCGATGCGTCACACGAGGCGTGGAGGATCGTGGAGACTCCATTCATGGTCGATCCGTGTGTTTGTTATTGCGGGCAGGAAATAAAAAATAATGCCTGTATGACATCAGTCGACCGATCGATCCGTTTTGCATGGTGATGCATGAAGCGCAATCGGACGGGTTGCAACGCGACGGTGTCATCGTTTTGGGTGTGGGCGCTGCCGACTGTGGCTCCGTTCGCGTGTAATTATAAAGTGGCCATTATTTTTCGATGCACTTTGCGCTCGATCAGACACCGTTTGTTTAACCGTGATCGAGCGTGTCCGTGAATTTTTTTAATGGAAGGAAAATGGTTTTAAATTTAAAAATACGTATATATACGTATTTCAATATTTCCACTGGTTGTAAACTAATGGATCGAAGTAATCAACTTACTAACAATTTATTCATGGAATCATTGCTATTTTTAAAAGTGTTTGAAAGATTCCAACGCTCGACTATAATTAACGATCATTGATTGTTCGCGTCATCTATGATATTCTTATCCGAATATATAAATGTTCAAATTTATCATAAAATAAGGGAACATTTAATTCAAAATCTTGTTCTGTAATGTAAAAATATGAAGCTATATATTGATAATTGAATACTATAATTTGTTTTGAAGTTGATTTAATTTAATGTTTGTTTGTCTTTTTTCCTGTTTTTTTTTCTTGATAATAATTTATAAGGTAAAGAATTGGATTATGCAATGTAGAGAAAGATCCAGTCATAAATTTTACGTAAATTTCTATCGTAAATCGTACGACCACTCGAGTTCATAGCAATAATTCTAAGACACCCAATACTACCTACGTAATTACGATAATCAAACGCGTTTTACGACCGTCAAACGCAAAATTGCTCCTTGTCATTATACTCTAATATCCAGGTCCCTCGTCGTGAGTGATAAAACTGTACAATACGTTATACGAGCGTGAATAAAATCGAATCTACTAGCCGGAAAAGAAAAAAAAGAAAAAAAACACCATCGACCCTTTTACTAGACCTCCCCAACGTAAGCTTCAACGTGCTTCAATTCAGTCAAATTGCCTTTATTATTCGACACACCATTCGACGACACCACGACACCATCAGTGAAGAGGATAGCTCGTTGTCGAACGATCGATAAATTTTTCGAAACGACCGTGCAACGAAAGTTTATCCATCGCGTTGACCGCGCGAAAAGAATTCAATGACGATGCGTAAATCCATGGACGGATGGCTCGCGTTAAACGATGATCGCGTGGATTGCGTTCTATCAAAATTGCTCGTTGAATTGAAAAATTCGATATTCTGATGGCGCGTCAACGTTTTATCCCTTGAAAAATCCTGTCAAAAAATCGATATTCCACAAATATCGAACGCGTTGATCAAACGCATGCTTTCGTCCGTTATTCACGAGCGGCGTAAAATGCACTTTGCATTTTAGAGTATCGCGAGTATTACGCCTGGTAGCGATCGTTTTCAAGTGTAATGTACTCGCTACTTATACGTACGTACGTACATGATTGGCCATTGTCGCTGCTCCATGCACGCTAACGATCATTGCACGTTCAATGCATTCCATTGAAGACGATAAAGTTCATTGATATCGTTTTTGCGCAAATATTTTAATTTCCTCCTCGTCCACACTAGAATGTAAAGTGTACGTATGCTTTTATAAATTTTTCTATCTTGTCGTTAATATTATTACAATTTTACTTTTTAATTGTATTAATATTCAATATACTATTATAATATTTCATTTCATCAAGAATTATTTTATTTGACATAAAATAAACTTCTCTTACTGAAGAAATTAAAATCTCTTTTGTTAAAAGTTTGGTTAATTTGTTTTCACAAGGAGAAGGGAATTAATATTCCTCGAGAATCCTATTATTTATGATTTTGAAGAAAGTAGCGGTAAATCTTGGAATAACGAGGGAACGATAAAATCAGGATGGAAATTATTGGAAAGTTGATCGGGAGTGAATCGATCCACGGTAATCACGGTATAGTTACCGAAGGGAATTCTGCAGCAACTGGTCGGTTCCGTTAGGAATGCCTAGATTCTAAGCTGCGTCCACCGGGTCTATTCTCGCCAGTCCAAGGAAACGTATCGTCAATAAGATCTGTGAGAACGGCTCACGGCATTTTTGGTCCGCGTTCGACTTCGGTTATACTATTTTACGTCTATGTTTAGATCTGGTCCAGCTGACGTCCATAAACTAGGCCGAATAGCTGGGCGCTTCTATAATGTTTATTATCGGTTCAAAGATCACTCTTTGCCATTATACTTGACGTCGAGTGTCCATCAATGAAATTCATGGGATTTCACGAAAACTGATTTATTCCTCCCGTATTTTCATTTCATTTCTTTAAACGCGTTGAATTTAACATCTATAATATGCAAATGTATATTAGAGAGTAAAACTTTCGAGAATCATTTCTTCTTACTCAAATGGATATACCGTAGTAGTAGTAGAGAATGAACGATCGTTGAAAGTAGTTTTCACTCTCGCGACACAATTCGTTTCAAGGGGGAAGAATACTTCTCGAAAATTTCTACTCTAAGATTATATCTCTAAAGATATCTAACTAAGAAGAACGACGAGTTCATTCTCGCTCTCCAACGAGAATCCAACGAATTCCGGCTTCCTTAACATTTCATTCTCAGATTATTATTATTATTATTATTATTATTATTGTTATTATTATTATTCCCGTCCAAAATCGTGTCTTGCTTATTCGAGACGCAATGTTAAACAATTGTTGATACGCGATCGGTTTCGCAGAATTTCGCGCATCGATTCAATTCGTGCACGAATTACAATCCTTCCTCCCTTCCCAGGAGGATTGAATAAATTTACATTAACGAGATTCGCAGATGGGCTGTCGAGATGCCAGATTTAGATGGGCCAATCGGGTAGAATCGCCATTTAGAAAATCGTGATTCGTTTCCATTCGTTGCGTCGAAAACGAAATTCGCGTATATTACTCTCCTCTCTGCTCTTCTCCCCCCTCGATTTAATGGAGTCGAATAGCGGATAAATAAAGTTATAACGTTTCTGGGACGGATGACAACTGGCTCGGATCGTTCGGATACGGTTAATCAGATTTGGAAGATAGATGGAGCGAGAAAGTTGGGCGGCATCTCTCCCGAGGAATTCTTCGTTTATCTGTTTGACAATGTCGTTACGTGTGTTGGAGATTCGTTTCATTAGCTCGCCCCTTATCGCGTAATGAATTTCCACCTTTCACTTTTATCTCTGGCAAACATTAACTCCGATTCAGATTCCATATCTCTATCGTGCTCGATACGTGCCTCGAGGCGTGATGCATCGGGTTTTATTTATCATACGTAATAAAATTTCGAATCATCATGGATCTCGCTTTTGTTTAAATTTCACTTCACTACAACTTTCTAATCGTTTCGTTTGTTTGTTCGCAGATGTGGCGATTAAGGTTTTGGATTTACGTGCTGGTGGTAGCGATATCATTGGCGCAAGTGAGGAGGGTCGTCGCCTGTTCTTGCATGAATAGTCATCCTCAGACGCTGTTTTGCAATTCAGATTTCGGTAAGGAAATTTCGCATTAGAAAGGAGTAAAATGCGTAAAATGCGTGTATATCTTTGCTTTGTTCGTACGTGATTTCTGTACAACGGAGGAAAAATTGCGATTACCTTTTGCGCATAAATTTAGAAAATATTTTTCCCTCCCAATTATTATTATCAGAGAAAAACAAAATCATATCGTTTTTTTATTTTATTTTATTTTATTTCGTTCTTCGTTCTATCCTCGATTCGAACGTTATAACGTTGCGATAAAAATTTGATGTTAATTTTATTCTTTCCTTCTTCTTCTTCTTCTTCTTCTTCTTCTTCTACTTTTTCTCTTTCTTTCTTTCTTTCGTAGTCATTCTTGTAAGAGTGAAGAAGATGACGAACGTGAACGAATTCGAAACTGCGTACAACGTGAAAGTGAATAAATTCTTCAAGGTTCGTACATCCGACGATTTTTCTTCACGATCGCTTTGCGGCGTTTTGATTTAAACGTTTATCGTCACCCTATTATTACAGGCGAACAAGACAACGTATCCCGCGCTGAGGAAAAATATTTTATGGACCGCGTCCTCGGACTCCATGTGTGGAGCACAGCTTAAAGTTGGAGAAACGTACGTTGTGAGCGGACGCGTGATTTACGGTGATAAGGCGCATATATCATCGTGTGGAATAGCGATGCCTTGGCGTTTTGTGACGAGCAGACAGCGGAAGGGCTTCAGGCATTTATATCATTCCAGTTGCATGTGCAAAGTGAGTGAGGAAAAATTCTGGTATTATTTTTTCTTCTTCTTCTTTTTTTTTTTAAATTAAAAAATTCTACGTCACGATATTTGATATTTCGATATTTCCGAACCAAGAAGATCAATTTCTACAAATTTACATCGATCCATTCGCTTTCGACACATTTCGCTTATTTAAAAAAGTGAAATAAATATGTCCAAGCGTTGAATTTTGTAATAATACGAGTAGAATGCATTGAGTTATGCAAAAGTTTCTTCTATGATTGTTTCCCTTTGAATAAAGCTCGTCCCATTTCTACGTGGAATTCTCAACAATGTTCAAAATGTTCTGAATCTATCAGTAGAAGGGGTAATTTATTTTACGTGATAATTCAGAATTACTCATCATCTTTCTTGTTTTAACCTATGTTCATTTTGTTTTTTTTTTATTTTAGGTTCGTTACACACCTTGGTGGATCAAAGGTATAACTTTGGAGAACACAGACGGCACGGAATGCCTGTGGGAGAGCAGGCCAGGTCCCGAGGAGTGTCAAAAAGATTTCGGCATCTGCATGTACAGAGAATCTGGATGCTATTGGACACCCTCGGTGCCTTACAAAAACTGCATCAAGAAGTATCAGCTGGAACGCGAGCAGAAAAGAGCGCGAGAACCTTAATATATTCTTCCGTTTCGATTCAATACGAAAGTTCTGTGGTTGAATGAAAGATTGATTGATCGCGATGGCGAAAGGGAGAGAGAGAAAGAGAGAGAGAGAGAGAGAGAAAGAGAAAGAAATCGACGTTGTTCGTAACACGTAACACGTTTCGATTTACGATCTATTTGTAAAATTTCGCGAGATTCCTGGAAGAATTTTTGTTTATATCGTTGGTAACGTAGAGAGATAGAGAGAGTATCAACACGCAGCAAACTCGTCGTTGTGCGTGGTAAATTAATGCTAATTCTTTTATATATTTATTTAAGTCGATTAATCGACGATAGTGATCGAAGAAACATTTGTAACAATTCAGAAGAATTCAGAAGCGTTCGATCGATGAAAGTCACGTTTCGAATGAAAATTATATGTAAATTTAAAAATCTTTTTTTACTCTTTAAACTCTCGATTGACTAACTATTCAGTAATGGTTTTTTAATTGTCAATTGAAAGAGTATAAAGAGTATAAAGAGATTCTTGAACAATTGTGCGACTTGTATTATTAATCAAATGCTTCTGAATACCTTTCAATCAAGTAATTCGAAAAATTTGCAAGTCAAATTGTACGATTCGAAGACGTTGGCATTAATTTCTCAATAACGTGGCGTTTTTCATTTCAGCATCGCGCCATGCTCTATTTATTGTTGCGTTCTATCAGAAGTATTATTAACCGGGTGAACGTTGTGTGGACGAGTACAAAAAAAAAAAAAATTGTTCGTTAATTAAACACGAAGCAGCGGAATGATTGAAAATTATACGCAGCCAACCCGGAAGCTGTTGTTCAAGGGCACTACGTGAATCGTACCGACTCTTGAGACTGCTTGCATTTTCATGAGAATTTTTACTTCGTTACTACGTTTCGAGGTTTGTTGCATCGCATTTTTGTATCATTGTGGATTCCTCGTCGTTAATAATTATTTATTTCGTTGACCTCTTTTCACATCTGAATAATAAACGTCGTTAATAATGTAGTTCGACGTTTATTTAATTGGCGTTAAGGAAGATTTACATTTATAAACGATTTTTTTTTTTTTTTTTTTTAGTAACAACGCTTCGTTTAATTGATTTTCACAGCAACCTCGACTGAGTTTCGTTTCGAAATCTGAAATAAGCAAGTAATAACAAAAGATTGGCTATCTCTTTTTTTAGTTGTACATATTAGGCTATTGATGTATATTATACATTTTTAAATTATTCTCACTTTCATCTCGTTGTACGTAGCTTTGCTCTTTTTTTTTCCTTTTTTATATATATAAGAAGCTGCTAGAAAGTATTTAATTTTTAGCGAATCCTTGTATAGGTCAGTGAATATTGAAATAACATAATCTATGTTTTCTAAAAAAAAAAAGAAAAAAGAAAAAAGAAAAAAAGATAAATTTTATTTAAAAGAAGGAACATAATTCCTTGAAAGAAACGGAAAAAGTCCAGATTTGTTTCATGTTATCTCAGATTATGTTATCTCATTATTCGAAGGATAGCACAAAGATGCTAAGCGTCGTTATTAGAAATGTTACAAATCAAGTTGGGTTTCTCTAACCTTATGTATCCGAGCACGATCGTTATATTGTTTCTTGCCTGATGGGGGACAAGAGAACGTAGACTACCCTTCACGTGGGTTTAGAACTTTAGTACAAAAGTGGTAAAAGCGCGCGACACGGCGGAAGAATTAGCCTGGATTTTCCTAGCTTGAGGACGTAACACGGAACGATGTATGTTCTTAGTCTTTTATTAGTTCTTCCATTTGATAACTTTTGTAAGTATTATAATATTTGAAACGAGAAATGGGGAAAAAAAAAAAATAAAACGAGAAACGTATAATAATAATAATAATAATAATCTTTCCCTTCTACGTGAACTTTCAGGATGATGTGAATATTTTATTTAACTCACCATTTCGCGATGGTTGGGATAGTAAGTTTGCTCTATCAACGGGAAGTTATCCTTTCCTAAACGACGTTGAAGTCCCAGAAGATGCGCGAACACCCAAGGTTTATCCTGAAACGCGGATAAACGTAATTAAGAAAATCCGTTTCCTGGAAATGGAAAGTTGATCGTTCAAGTTTTAATCGTTCCTTCCATTCAGAATGACTCTTGCCCGGTTTTCTTTAATTGGACAAACTTCATACCTGAAAGTTGTAAATTGCCGTGAGATTGTTAACGCTCGGCACACCGCCGTACATCAAACCGAGAAGAAGATTCTTGTAATCTTCTCCCGCGTCCTTTAGGTTTTGTCGTATCAGAACGAAATCGGGCTTGAAGGATCTGTGGGCAAAAATTATTTCCCTTGTCCGTTAAAAATATTCAGAAATTTATGGAGCAAGAAAATTCTAAATTCTAAGATTCTATTTTCTTTTTAGGAAAGAGCAAAGAATGTCAAGATGAGATAAAAACTCTCTGATCATATCAATTATATGAAATTACATTACGTTATAATATCATACTTGACGATTATGTATTTTAACGAACGATGAAGATTTTGTTGCCGTCTTTTCGAGAAAAGGAAGAGAATTCGATCGATCGAAATATCAATTAATCTTACCGGATGACTTTGGTCCCGTTACGATAAACCGCCATGGACACAACGGTGCCAGTCTCGCTGGCCGTCAACGACAATTCCCGAAATTCCGCCTGTTCGACGCGGATCTCGTAATCACCGTGAAGCCTACGACCCCGGAAATATTTGCTCCAGTCGGTGTTTTGGTCGTCTATGACCAGCAACGTGAAGCATCGATCTTTGTTGTAAGAGGGCCCTCTGGTTGCACCTGACACTGCCGCTCCCAGAATCGATGCACCCTGGTAATAATAATCAAAATTGGTACGAGTAATTCTTCTTATATATTTCGTAAGAAAGAAAATTTATCCAACGACTTCAATCACTTTTTTTTCATAATTTTTTATTACAAGGTTCAAACGTTTAATAGGATAATGAACGTCGAAAAGATTGATGGTATTTCGAGCACGCGAAAGCTCGCACATTTCTTCGAAGAACATTGAAAAAAGATCGTGTATCGCGTCGAACATGCAACGAGGCAATTTTGGATCCAAATCTTGACTCGTGTCGATCTTGCGCCGCACGATACGTACGTGGAAATGCAATCTGATCGTTCGAAAATGATGGAACAATTTATACATTATTATTATTATATACACCTTGGGGAAATTAAACTCGAAGATGGAATTTCACGGAAGCGCAATCGTGCTTGTCATGGAAATCGAAATGAAATTTCTAAGATAACTTGACCTTTCTCATCCCGATGAGATACTTTACAGATTCACTTTCGTTAAACTAAACATATTCGGAATATTTATTCAGTAAAAACCTCTTCTCTTAAATCTCTTTATCGCGAAACGATCGTCGCCGACTCAAACACGTTTCTTTTTACAATTACATAAGAAGAAAATGTTTATCGCGTATGAACGTTTAAACGTTTAGCAGCAAATACTCTTTCGTTTTTAAAATACGTGATACGAATTATTTAACAACCTACGATTTGTAACCTAAATATACACCTTTTAAAAGAGTCAATTTTGCAGGATTATAAAAAAATAAATTCAAAAGTATATTCCTTATATCATACCCCTTAATATTCTCCAAAATTTGTCATATTTAAAATAACACCAAGTATCACTCTTGCAGGAAGCACCCTCGGTTCCTCCCTCACCTCTACCTCACCTCACCATAATCAATTGATCGTTGAAAACCGATTCCACCCACCTGATCGCGAGCAGCCCCTGTCAAGCTCTGAACCCTCTGGAGCAAACTTTCCCTGGTCTTGGCAGGCGAGGATGGAGCACTGGTGGTTCTGGAGCCGGGTCTCAGGTTGAGACTGAGGTCGCCACCGACGGGTTGTGGGGCTCCGGGCGGCGGTGCCCCGGGCACGGGCGGCTGGCTGGCCGGCGGAACCGGCGTAGGTTGGGACTGCAACGGGCGTTCGGGCACCGCTTGATACGATTGGGACGACGAATCCCTGGCCATGGAGGCCAGCCCGGAGTCTGTGCTTGGTTCATCGTCGAGCTCCGAGCTCAAATCCCCTGACGAGAACCTGGAAGACAAACTATGGTCGTGGTCGTGATAGTGGCAATCGGTCCGTTCGTCCAGGGATTTCACGCTTTTTTTTAGCATTCTTTTTATATATATATATTTTTTTTTTTTTT